GATTAAGAGAGAGAGCACACGAGCAGGGGAGGGGCAGAGACAGGGAGACAGAGGATATGAAGTAGGCTCTGCACTTCAGGAAACAATATTAGTTTCCTGAGACGCAGAGCTCAAACCCATGAACCGTGAGATCATGACCTGAGGCGAAGTCAGATGCTTAACTAACTGAGCCACCCAGGAGCCCCACATAATATTAACAAATATGTTTCTTGGTACTGTTTTCAATTTGCCTTCATTAAAGTTCAGCAGAATTAACTGGTAAATAAAAACCATTTCAACCTTGCTTTCTAAAGTTTGTTATCAACTTTAATTATTCATATCTGTAAATTTACCTTCCTTTCCTACACTCAAAGAATTTGTAGTCCTTCCTAACTGAACATTACCTCATCAACAGTTTTACATTGTTTTCAATCTGTTTTGCCTATGGAAGTCATCTCCCTCCTGTATTCCATTTCTCCGCACCCCCATACTCCTAGTTCTACATGAGAAACCACAAGAAAACTGCTGATGGATATACACCTTCCCCAGCAGTATCTTACTTACTGTCTTATAACTGTGTCCAGCCAAGAAGAATTGGCTTCAGGAACTTTTAAACATGCCAAAGCTGAAGCTTTTATGATGAAGTCATTGACAGAAATTTTGCTTCTCCCTTCTAACATCTGCAAAGACAAGAAACCATTGTATTTTCTTCAATTCTCTTCCTGAAGACTGAAACTATATCACCTGGTAGGGGATGTGAGAGGGGCAAACACAAATGTCCCGAGGTATAAAGGATGAAATGAAACTAAATTTGGTTGTTTCAACTTTTTTAACGTAGGTCTTTTCAGCCATAAGTTTCCCGCTAAGCACTCCTTTAGCTGTGTCCCGTAAGTTATGGTATATTAAAAAGGCCGCCTTTTTCACTTATCTCAACAAAATCAAAAGTTGGTTCTTTGAAAAGATCAACAAAATGATAAATGTTTAGCCAGACTGACAAAGAGAAAAAGAAGACTCAAATTCCCAAAATCAGAAATGAAGTAGAGGACATTACTATATGCCCTACAGGAATAAAAAAGATTACTGGTAATACTATGAACACCTATATGCCACAATTAGCTAACTTTGAGAAAAATTCCTAGAAAGACAAAAACTACCAAAACTGAATCAAAAAGAAATAGAACCTCTGAATAGATCTAGAGCTAACAATAAAGAGACTGAATGATAATTTAGAAACTACCCACATAAGACAGCCTAGATCCAGACGGCTTCCCCAACTGGTGAATTCTGCCAGACATTTAAAGAAGAATTAGTATCAATTCTTCACAAACTCTTCCAAAATAGGGAACACTTCCCCACTCATTCTAGAGGTCAATATTAATCCAATACCAAAACCACACCAAGATATAATAAAAAAACAAAACAACCCAGAAAAAACAAAACTACAGACAAGTATAATTTATGAATATAGATAACAAAAACTCTCAAAAAAACTCTAGCAAACCAAATCCAGCAATACAAGAAAAGGATTATTCACCATGATCAAATGGGATTTGTCCCAGGAATGCAAGGATGGTTTAACATCTGAAAATCAATTAATCTAATAATGTCCTAATGGAATATAGGACAAAAATCACACAACCATCTCAACAGACACAGAAAAAGCAGACAAAATTCAACCACCACTTCATAAAAACTAGGAAAAGAAAGGAAGTTCCCCAACCTGATGATAAAACAGATCTACAAAAGCTCATAGTCGTCATCATCATACTTTAGTGGTAAAAGACTTACATCCCCTTAAGATCAAGAACAAAACAAAGACGTCCACTTTACCACTTCCAGTCAACACTTTGCTGGCCAGAGAAGCCAGCCAGAGAAGTTGCCCAAGAAAAGATATCCAAATTGGAAAGGAAAAAGTACAACTATGTTTGCAGATGACATGATTTTGTATATAGAAAATCCTAAGGAACACACTAAATAAAAAATAAGGTTGTAAGATACAAGATCAATATACAAAAATCAATGGTATTTCTATACAACAGCAGTGAACACGAAATTTATAATAGTATTAAAAAGAATAAAATACATAGGAACAAATTTAACAAAAGAAGTACAAAAACTTACACTCAAAAAATTATAAACATGATTGAAAGAAATGAAAGACCTAAATAAATGCAAAGACACCCCCTGTTCACGGAGTGGGAACACTGTTAAGAAGGCAATACTCCCTAAGTTGATTTATCGATTCCATGAAGTCCCTATCCCTATAGGAAATATCCAAAACAGGCAAATCTAAGATGGAAAGTAGGTAAGAAGTTGTCTAGGGTTGGGGAGGATGAGAGGGGTGGGGTGGGGGCTATGGCTAAGGAGAGAATGGTTTCATTTTGGGGTGATAAGAAGGCTCCAAAATTTATTGTGGTGATGGTCACAGAATTCTGAATATACTAAAAGCCACTGAATTATAAACTTTATATGGGTGAATGGTATTATATGTGCATTATATCCAAATAAAGCTGTTTAAGAGAAATGAATGAAATATTACATTCGACATATATTTTTCACGCCTGATTTTCAAATAAATTATAAAATAGCTTTAACATTTTGACAATGAAAGTAAGCAATCAACTTTAACCTCTGTGCCAGTTAAAAAGCTCTGTTAATGCTTCATTGCTTCATTCTTTCATGCATCTAATATTTGAGTACTCCGTTCAGACATAAAGCTCTAAAGCCCTGGATATAAAGCAGTGAAAAAAATGGGTAAAAATTCTACTCTCAGGGGGCTTACGTTTTTTTTTTTTTTAATGTTTACTTATTTTTGAGAGAGAACGCACGTGCACAAAAGGGAAAAGGGCAGAGAGAGAGGGGGACAAAGGATCCAAAACAGGCTCTGCGCTGATAGCACAGAGCACAATGTGGGGTTCAAACTGTCAAACTGAGAGTTTGTGACCCAAGCTGAAGTCAGACGCTTAACCAACTGGGCCACCCAGGTGCCCTGGGGAACTTAACAATCTAAAGGGGTGGATAGATAATAAACATACAGCATGTAAAATAATGTTACACGATAAAGAAAAAAAATAGAGGAAAAGAACTAGGGGGAGAAGTGACCAGTCACCCCAATCCTCTTCCCTTAATTTTAGAATAAGGTGACCAGGAAAGACTAGAGAGGGTGATATTGAGTCAGATCCTTACGGTGGTAAAGGAGGAAGCCAGGTAGATGCTAGAGGGTGAATATTCCATGCACAGGGAACCTCAAGTGCAAGGGGCCTCAAGTAGGAGTACACAGGTGGAACATCAAGGAACAGCAAGGCAACCATTGTTTTTGCAGCAGAGTGAACAAGTGGGAAAAGTAGTAGGAGGTCAGAGAGGCTACAGATAACCTGTGTAAGGCGCTGAATGCTGTTCTAATGCCCTCAGTGCCACTGGCTTTTACTTTTCACTTCTTTGAAAACATCTTTCATATCCCTCTCCTACTCCATTCTTAATGCAACTGTCTAGTCCAGACCCTTATCATGCTAACAGGACAAGCATAACTAGTCTCTGCCATTAAAGCACACCACTATATATCTACTTAGACTAAACTTACTTAAAATATTGCTATCATCATGTCACTATTACTGGTTTCTTCATGTCTAATTCATCAAGTCCAAATTGTTCTGCTTGTAAACAAGGTCTTCCCTAAACCAACAACTGCATACCCACCCTAGAAAAAGGTAGTCTCTCTTCCACATCTGCAATACTTACTTCCTTTCTTGAAAGCATTTTACCTCTATGGTATTCCATCATTAGAATGAACTTTCTACAACTTCTTTGCAATTCAAACACATACTATTCTACATGGCTTAACCAAGTTTTTCTTACACCACTGTGAATTCCCCAACTACTTTTACTGGGTTCCTCCTCTGAATTCCTAGAACACTTAACCCATACAACATAATTTAGCAGACAAAGGACATTACCATAAAGAGACTGATGTACAAATAAGTATTTTTACTTTAATAAAAATTGCCTTCTCTGTTTTTCACATGCATTATCTCAATTAGATTATAAACTGAAACTCATGGAGAAGGACTATACCTTATTCTATCTTCCCAAAAGTGCCTTATACTAAACACTAAATAGGTAATTGGTACTTAACTGCAAACACAGAGTAAACATACTCTTATCTAGCTTATCTTATCTAGCTTCATGGGATCACAGTGACTGAGCTAGGCTACAATGGATCCAAGGCAAAATCAACTTTAAATAATAAGCTTTAATCAAGGATTAGAAAATGAAAATTGTCCAAGATATTCTCTCGGCAAGTTAAAATTATGAAGACACCATTTTCCAACATCAACTGGCATACTGGAACAAAAAATATGGGCAAAAATGTATATATTTAGTGGGGAAATACAAGCATTTTAGAATTTACAGAGTTGGAATTTCCAGACCTTTTACCTTATTAAGTTCTTTCCGTACCAACAAAACTTCTCCCATATTTACGTCAATGGAAAGGTAATAATGAGGTATGGTTTGCTTAGACTGCATTAACCGCTGTGCAATAACCTAGAATCAAAGACATTAAAACATCACTTGTCTTAAGTGGTTCTTTTCTTTATTACCTAATTCAGGACTCTGTTTGCCCCTTTACTAGCTCCCTGGTAATGCTTACCTCAAGCATTATACTGGAATATGGAGGACTGCACCGTAACCTGGGCCCCTTCTAGTGGTGTTTAATCAATATAATGTTTGTTTTTCCCAAGTATCTAATTGGCCAAAGCAAACATCTTAAACTAGTCATCTATGATTCCCAACTAAAAAAAGTCTCTGTTAGTGTTTCAAACCATGAATGCAATTAAACAATCAGAGTAAAGACGCCCCCTATGGTGCTGGTTGCAGATTTAGGGTAATATTCTTACGCGACGAATGTTGCTGACTGGGACATCTGTGAAGACACCTGTGGGAACGGGTGCCACTCCTGGACCCGGGGCAGGCACAGCAGCTGCTGGAGCCTATGGGGAAGTAAAAAAGCTCTTAGTAACTGACTCAATCCTGGCATATACAACTGGGGCAAGTCAGTGACTCTACAGATGGCAAAGTACAAATTAGAAGGCTTACAGAAAATAGCTATCTCTATCCCAAGGGAGCAAAAGGGACTCATATTTGTACTGTGCTTACACAACAGTTCTGATTTTAATTTTTATACTTAGAATTCTGTAATCATGTCTTAAGTATCATTTTTCTTCGTTCAACGATTAGTTTGTCAAAATAATTTTGTATCTGCAAAATTACCTTCAAGAAAAACAATCAAAGCATTCTTAAACTGAAAGAAGTAGACATAAACATAAACAAGGTAATTATTTTTCTGGACAGTGTTAAAAAACAATGACGAGGGGCGCCTGGGTGGCGCAGTCGGTTAAGCGTCCGACTTCAGCCAGGTCACGATCTCGCGGTCTGTGAGTTCGAGCCCCGCATCAGGCTCTGGGCTGATGGCTCAGAGCCTGGAGCCTGTTTCCGATTCTGTGTCTCCCTCTCTCTCTGCCCCTCCCCCGTTCATGCTCTGTCTCTCTCTGTCCCAAAAATAAATAAACGTTGAAAAAAAAAAATTAAAAAAAAAAAAAAAAAACAATGACGAATCTTTCATTTTAAAACAAACATCTAAATAACTAAATCATTTTCCTTACTTTTAGCTAATAATCTTAACAATTTAAACCAACTAAACACTAGTTGATTGGTTATGTGGATTTAATCCCTGTGTGGAATAATTAACCACATAAAATTCAAACTCTATTCAACCACCTTGTAAGCATGCTTTTAAAAACAGAGCCAGTCAGGGATGCCTGTGTGGCTCAGCCAGTTAAGCATCCAACTATAGTTCAGGTCATGATCTCACGGTTTGTGGGTTGGAGCCCCGTGTGGGGCTCTGTGGTGACAGCTCAGAGTCTGGAGCCTGCTTCAGATTCTGCTTCCATCTCTCTCTGCCCCTCCCCCATGCTCGCTCGGTCTCAAAAATAAGTAAAACGTTAAAAAAAAATAAAATAAAAATAGGGCCTGAGTGAGAAGGAGGGTTTGTTAGGAAAAATTCAGTACCACTGGAAAAAAAAATTGGAATGCGTGTCAAGGTAGCATTATCATCTTTCCTTTTTTTTCCTTTTTAATGTTTGTTTATTTTTGAGAGAGAGTGCACATGATCAGGGGAGGGGCAGAGTGAGAAGGGGACAGAGGATCTGAAGCAGGCTCTGCAGTAAAAGCAGTGAGCCCGACGCGGGGCTTGAACTCGTGAACTGTGAGATCATACCTGAGCTGAAGTTGGACGCTCAACCGAATGAGCCACCCAGGCAGGTGCCCCTCATCTTTCCTTGTGAATGGTGAATGATAGCACATTCATATCTATATAGTGCTAGCCAGTGAAATTAGGCAAAACACAATTCTGGTCAAGCTATTTCATTCATAAATAATGTATGAAAGGGTCTAACAGGTTGGACAAAACATTTTGCAGGAACAAAGTGCCAAAAAAAAAAGCCTAATGTAACTCACAGGAGCAGCTTTAGTAGGCACAAAAGAGTCGATATCCTTCTTGATGATTCTGCCTTCTGGTCCCGTCCCTGGAAGAGACGCATAAATATCACACATGTGACAGCACACCACTGGTTCCTCTGGGATATCGACACCGTGATCCTGAAGTGCAAGTTCCTAAGGGTTCTCTACCAAAGACCCTCTGAAGTGGCCACTGCTCTACTCCTGCACCTTAAAGTTCTCTCTAAAACAATAGCAGCTTTTATGCAATTATTAATTTTGATTCAGAGTGCTCTTGTTTGAGCTGTAGCCGTTCTTTTCTTAATTACTACAGCAAATGCTCCGTTAGGCGAATGTGATAACCGCTACGCTATGGAAACCCTGTGGCAGCAAATGCTCTTTGTTAAGTATTTCTCTTTCAGAGTTTTGTATCAGTTGTTCTTCATTTTTTCATGTCCTTTACTTTTAAATTGGGAAATAATGGCATATGGCTAATGCTGAATACAATTTATACCTCCAAAACAAAGTCTAGCTGCCTCTTCTCCTAGGCAGCTCCAAAAAAACCCTTTCTGAATCTTGAAATGGATCTCGTTTGAGTTCTAGATTCGTTTGATCGTAAAGAATTCCCTTTGTACAGAGTCGACAGGACAACTAGTTCAGATAATTTTTTCACCCCAAAATAGCTTGAATAACTCTCAGCTGCAATGATCTTATCTCTAGAATTGTTTCTTCCTCGTGTGGGCTCCATCACTCACAGCTCTGTCACACTTGCCAAGCCTCTAACCTGGCCTATGTCAGAGGCCTGGGAGTGAAGTGTGTGCAATGTCACACGTGAGGAAAAATCTTTAAAATCCTCTCACAACAGGCTGAGTTTTATTTTCACTCAATTTACTTCCTCCGCCCATCCACAACCAATCAGCTTTAACTTTAGACCCAAACAGATTCCTGAACCTTAATTCTAAGGAGATTCAGAATTTAGTTATTTAAAATACCTTTTATACTGGCCCACTTCTAGAAAAAATTTGGTCAAATTGATTCATCTTCCCCCAAGGCAGACTTTTAAAAGGATTCTTGTTGTACGCAGTTCGTCCCAACTCCTTTCCTTCATTATGAAAAATGAGTTGGCTAGGATTGTGCTTATCCTCACCCGGAGCTCTAGAACAGAGGTAGCAGTACCCCTATTAGATTCTCCTCTTTTATAAAAGACAGAACCCATAACCTCCCATTACCACCAAGGCTGATCTGGACACCACAGCCCCTTGAGAGGAGGAGACCTACAGAATCACCTGCCTTTGGTTGGGCTTCAGCCACCCTCAAGAAATTCCCATTAGGAGTCAGCTGAAATCTTTTAAATGTTTCTGTCCATCTCCCTACAGAGGCACAACAGGCCATCATAAAGCAATATGGTATAAAGGGAAGAACACCGGACTAGGAGGAAAAATGCAAGGCTGTGTCAGATAAAAATTAGACACAGCCTCTGTGCTGGTCTTTTTAGTCTCATCTATAGGACACAGGTTATAATGCCGGCCCCTGATCAAAGGAATGTGTGAACACTGAAGATCAAATGGGATAGTGATGTGAAGTGCTCTGCCTCAAAGAAATAGAAAACAAACATGGGGACCTGGGAGACAAATCAAACTTGGACACTAGGGTTTAGGCTTTAAAACGGTTTCTGTCTGGGACACCTGGGTGGTGTCTGTCAGCACAGAGCCTACTTGGGACTCACTCTCCTTCCACTCCTCCCCTGAGCATGTATACGCTCTCTCTCTCAAAACAAATAAAAATAAACGTAAAAAAGAAAGTTTCTCCCCAAATGAATACAAGTAGTCATATTTGCTAAGTCATTTGTCCCTCCAAGAAGGGGGGGTGGGGGTGGGGGGGGACTAGAGGTTGAGTTCAACAGTTCACAGCCAAGGATTTAAATAACCATGCCTTCTTACTGAAATCTCTATCAAATAAATACTCTTAACAACAAGATTTGGAGCTTCTGGGTTGGTGAACACATCAATGTGCTAGGAGGGCAGTCCTCCGAGCGAGGGCATGCAAGCTTTGCACCCCCCCACCACAAACCACGCCTCGTCCTATGCATCTCTTCTACTGACTGCCCCTGCACATCCTTTACAGTAAACCAGTAAGTACAGTGCTTTCCTGAGTTCTGTGAGTCGTTCTAGTGAATTTTCATACCTAAAGTGGGGTCTTGGGAAGTCCTGACTTACAGCCAGTAGGTCTGAAGTATGGGTGGTCCCTGGGACCTGTAACTGGCATCAGAAGTGGGGCTGTCTTGTGGGGCTGAGCCCTCAAGCCTGGGGGGCCCGATGCTAACTCTGGATAGTTAGTGTCAGAACAGGATTGAAGTGTTGGATACCTAAATGGTGGCAGAGAATGGATTGTTGGTGTGGAAAAAAAATACATTTGATGACAGAGAGGTGTCAGAAAACCCCACACAATCACTGATCCTCTCAGCTCGCTTATTCTAGACCATTCCTTCCTACTGCAAAATTTCTTCAGTCTCACCAAGACCCCCCACTCCACTGACTTGACCGCTCCCATCATCTACCATCTCCCTATCCCCTACACTTCCTCACCCAGGAACGGGTGGATCACGGTTATAGTCACTCCCTGGTCAAAATCTAAAATGTCTGCCGGTTCAAGGGAAACAAAAGCAAATATGAACTACTAGGACCTCATCAAGATAAAAAGCTTCTGCACAACAAAAGAAACAACAAAACTAAAAGGCAAGTATGGAATGGGAGAAGACATCTGCCAATGACATCTGATAAAGGGTTAGTATCCAAAATCTATAAAGAGGTTATCAAACTCAACACTCAAAAAAATAAATAATCCAGTTAAGAAATGGGCAGAAGAGAGGAGCGTGGGTGGCGCAGTCAGTTAAGTGTCCAACTCTTGGTTTCGGATCCAGTCACGATGTCACAGCTCGTGGATTTAAGCCCCACATCGGGCTCTGCGCTGGCAGTGTGGAGCCTACTTGGGATGTGCTCTCTCTCTCTTTCTCTCTCTGACCTTCCCCGGCTCATGCTCTCTCTCTTTCAAAATAAAAAAAGAAAAAAGAAAAGGGCAGAAGACATGAACCGACATTTGTCCAAAGAAGATATCCAGATGGCCAACAGAGACGATGCTCAACATCACTCATCATTAAGAAAATACAAATCAAAACCACAATGAGATACCACCTCACACCTGTCAGAATAGCTAAAATTAACAACAAAAGAACAACAGGTGTTGGCAAGGATGTGGAGAAAGGGGAACCCTCTTACACTGTTGGTGGGAATGCAAACTGGTGTAGCCACTCTGGAGGAACATGGAGGTTCCTGAAAAAGTTAAATAGAACTACCCTATAACCCAGCAATTGTACTACTAGGTATTTACCCAAAGGATACAAAAATACTGATTCGAAGGGGCACATGCCCTCTGATGTTTATAGCAGCGCTACCGACAACAGCCAAACTATGGAAAGAGTCCAAATGTCCACGACTGATGAAGATATAGTATATACATAAAGGCGTATCACTCAGCAATCAAAAAGAATGAAATCTTGCCATTTGCAACAACGTGGATGGAGCTACAGTGCATTTTGATAAGCAGAACAAGTCAGTCAGAGAAAAACGAATACCATATGATTTCACTCATATGTGGAATTTAAGAAACGAAACAGATGAACACAGAGGAAGGGGAAAAAAAAGAGGAAAGCAAACCATAAGAGACTCTTAACTATAGACAACAAACTGTGGGGTGATGGAGAGAGGTGGCCATGGGATAGGCTAAATGCAAGATGAGTATTAAGGAGAGCACTTGTTGGGATGAGCACGGGTATTATACGTAAGTGATATAATCATTAAATTTTACACCTGAAACCAACTTTACCGTGTATGTTAACTAACTAGAATATAAATAAAAACTTGAAAAAAAAGGTCTGCCTTCTCAGTGCCAGCATCAGAGTAGCTTAATGCTGTTGGGGACAAAAAAAGTACACACTTAGGTGACCGATTATACTCTAAATTCAGAGCCACAAACCTGAAATAGACACATAAACTGCCCAGAAACTAAGTTATATTTCCTTCGAATTCACTTTCCCTGAGAATACTACCTAACAAATTCTCTAACTGCAAACCTCCCCATACTCAGTCTCCAGCCGATACCTTCACTTCAGACTTTCTTGATCAAACTGCAGCAATCAGAGTTATTCTCCTCGTCCTCCACCACCAAGCCTATAAATCCACCCCATATTCTCCTCTCTCCTATAAAAATAACACAAAATGTCCTTAATTCCTATCAAAAGCCAATCCTTTCCTTCCTACATTTTCAAAAACTGTTTCTTACCAAATTATCCTGCCCTTTCCTTACCATCTATTTATCCCTTTCTATCAGACCACTAGTTCTCACCAACACAATTTTGCCCCCCCGGGGGACATGTGGCAATGTCTGAAGTTGTTTTCCGTTGTTACAAGTGGGCGATGCTACTATGAATAGTGGGTAGAAGCCTAGGATGTTACTGAGCATCCTACAAAACACAAGACACCTCCCTCCCCCAGACAAAAATTATCTGGTCAAAAATATCAACTCTGCCACAGTTGAGAAACTCCATACTAGACCTCTTCTACTATCACTCACTCTCAAAAGCCCTCTCTTGAGCCCATATTCTCCTAAGCTACGTCCTATTTCTATGCCTTCCTTCATAGTGAAGCTTCTTAAATGACTTGTCCACAAAGCTATCTCCACTTCTCCATCCATATTCTACTTTTCGGCTCACTCAGACTTCCACCACACCTTTCTTTTGAAGTAACTGTTGTCAAGTCCCCATGTACCATCCTTGACTAAGTTCTGTTGATTCTGTCAAAAATGTATCTTGAAGCTGTCCATTTCTTTCCATTTTCACTGTCACCATGCTGGAAAAGTCACCACTGTCAGCTCCAGCAAAAGCCTCTTAACAGGGACCTTGGCTTTCACTTGACCCATCTGCATAAAGCAGCTAAAATGATCTTTTAAAAATACTTCCCTATTGGAGCGCCTGGGTGGCTCAGTTGGTTGAGTGCCCAATTCTTGATTTCAGCTCAGGACTTGATTCTGAGGTTGTGGGATCGAGCCCCATGTCAGGCTCTGTGCTGAGCAAGGAGCCTGCTTAGGATTCTTTCTGTTTCTCCCTCTGCCCCTCTGTCCTGCTCCACTCTCTCTAAAATTAAAACACACACACACACACACACACACACACACACACACACACAGAAACCAAAAAAACCTGTCCTTATTTTAATCTTTTAGTGGCTTCCTACTATGCTTTAATAAAATTCCAATTATACAATGACCCATAAAGTGCTCCTGCTTCTCGCCCCTGTACTTCTTTCCAACCTCACCTCCTTCCACTAAACCCTCTGCTCACTATGCTCCATGAACACTGGCCTCCTCTATGTTCCTCAGATGTGCCAAGCTCTCTCCCACTTCAGATGTGTACTACTGGTCTCTCTGTGCCCAGTTCTTCACATGGTTGGCTCACAGCTGACTCCTCATCTTTCAGGTCATATCAAATTTTACCTCATCAGAAAGATCTTTCCCAACCACCATGTCTAAAAGCAGTCATGACTGCACATATATTCACCTTGTCACTCAATAGTGTATCACTTGGTTTCTTTCTTGGCATTCATCTTATGTAATAATAACAGGTTATTTTCATTTTTACAGCTAATATCTCTATATGCTGTCTATGTGCAGGCACTCTTTGTTAACTTAGTTAATCCTCAAAACCTGTAAGCCATTATTTTTATACAGAAATGAAGAAACCGAAACATAAAAGGTCATAAAGCTAGAGTACAGGAGAGCCAGGATTCGAACCTGAGCATTCCAGCTCTGGAGCCCATACTCCTAACTACTAAGCTGCATTCCCTTCCTGTTCATTTAACTCTTTATTGTTGGTAATACAGGCATCTGAAACTGAAATCTTGTCTGTCTTATGAACAAGTGTTAGATGCACAGACAACACTCGATGAATTTTAAATACTGGTAAATGAATCACCTAACTCTAATTGCCTGATTAAGAACATGGGGATTTCCCCACTCACATCTTGTGTATGGCAGCCAATGTTGCTAAGTATCTCATAAACGGTCCTTCTTCACTTGTCTAAATTCTTCAGATATAATTATTAATCCAGCCCCTCCTCCCCTTAAAATCTATTCCAACTTACTTTGCTAATTCTAGTCCCAAATAACATAAAAAAGTGGCCACGTGCCATTGAAACAACATGAAGACGGAAAAAAGCATCTTAAAATATTATAAAAATCCTCTGAGGTCCAAAAAGTTACAACATTCTATTCTTATTCTTTGGGGACTGGCTTGCCTTCCAAGCATGAAACAAAAGCCAGCAGACAGATGATAACCAGCACTGAATGCCCACAGCCAGACAACTGGGGAAATAACCAGTATCTAGACTCAAATTGCAACTTTACTACTTAACATAAAGGGAGATCCCTTAAGAGTATCTTCCTGGGGCACCTGGGTGGCTCAGTCAGTTAAGCGTCTGACTTCAGCTCAGGTCACGATCTCACAGTCCGTGAGTTCGAGCCCTGCGTCAGGCTGAGTGCTGACAGCTCAGATCCTGGAGCCTGCCTTGAATTCTGTGTCT